TCAGGCTGCTTCCTAGTGGTCAAAATCACCAAAGAGCAGGGGGTTGATGTATGGTAGGAAAGGTACCAATGATGTGGAGGTTGTGTCTCAGTCACTGAAAGCTCTCACTCTAGCTGAAGACACAGGTAAGAGAGATAATTTACCTTTTAGAGGTAAACTGACTTACAAATTAAATGCTCAAAATATCTGAGAGCTTCACTAGCTCTAGATAGGCAGGCTGGTTTAACAGTAGATTGCCAATCAGCTGAATAAGGCAGAGGAAGAAGCAACCAACCTATCTAGTAGCTGGTGTCATATAGTGGATTGTTTTGTTTTGTTTGTTTTGGGGTTTTTGTTTGGTTTGGTTTGGTTTGGTTTGGTTTGGTTTGGTTTGGTTTGGGTGGGGGATTGGTATTTTGAGACAGGGTTTCTCTGTGTAACACCCATAGCTGCTCTGTGGACCAGTCTGGCCTCAAACTCATAGAGATCTGCCTGCCTCTGCCTCCCGAGTGCTGGGATTAAAGGCATGATCTACCACTATCTGGCACATAATGATTTTTTACATGTTGATTTTTTGTTTTCGAGACAGGGTTTCTCTGTCGCTTTGGAGGCTTTCCTAGAACTAGCTCTTGTAGACCAGGCTGGTCTCGAACTCATTGAGACCCACCTGCCTCTCCCTCCCAAGTGCTGGGACTAAAGGCGTGTGCTCTGATTATCAGTGAGCGCTCATCCACCTCAAGAGGCTCCCGTATTAAGGCTACTCTGATGGGTACATATACATCCCACTGACCGGACTCAAACAGGATGATAAGAGATAAAGAGAAAAGAATTGAAAAGTACCCAGTGCCTTGATGATCTGAGAAAAACAAAGAGGCAAAGAGGATCCTAGAGGCTGAGGAGGGAAGATGAGGAAAGGTCTAAGAGAACAGTAAGTCTGAAGTAAAAGCCAGCTAAGTGAAACTTAAAACCTTGGAGGCGTGGGACAGATGGTCAGAAGTATTTACCCAGGATACTGGAGGGAACTCTCAGTCTATCAGTAAGTGCCTATTTCCTTATGGACCAGGAGATGTGGGAGAGGGTCTTTCAGGGCCATGTTACATGACTATAAGATCATAGCTGAGGTTGAGTATGCAGGATATGATCTGCAACCCTGTGTTCAGGGACTGCAAAGGCAAGATGTACTTTCTCACATATGCCAGGGTTACAGTAAGAATTTAAATGAGTCATTTCTCATCTCTGGGCTGGAGTTTCCTCCTCCACAGGCTTATATAAATCTCATGAAGCCATTAAAGAGTTAAAGAGTTCAAGTATCAAACCTGGTAGTGGTACAACCACTTTCCACTTCAGTTATTATCATTTGCTTATCTGAATCTTCCTTAATAATCTGGGTCACAGGGATACCTACAGATTCTTCTTCATTTGGTGTAAATAAATCCCAGACTCCTCTTAAGTCATGAGCAGCACCCTAGTGGTCTCAAAGTCCTTTTGGAAAATCTGGGGCTGCACCCTGTGCGGCAGAGTGCTCTCTTGCAGGTGTTGAGGGACTCAGCTGGGCTCTCTGTGGTCCCGAGAGTGCTCTAAGGATAAAGATCATGGGTGTTCTTCATCAGGTGATTAGTTCAGAAGTATGAAAAGAGACCATTAAAAACGTCTTCCAGATTCACCAGGGATGTAAGGAGGTTGTGTTGTGGAGCTGTGTCCATGGCGCTTTCAGAGTAGCTAAACCAAGATTAGGAAGTTTGGTCAACAGCCAGTGCCAGGCAGCTAAAGTCAAAACATCCTGCTGGCTGCATGGAAGGTGGCAGGACAAGTGAGAGCACAGAGTTTCTCCTTCTAGAAAACTCGTTCTAGAACTTTTGCAACTCATCTTTAGCTGCAATGTCTTCACCATAAGGTTATTTAGGAGCAACAGGTGTTCTGTTCTAATCAAAGTCCTCCTAGTGGCAATAGAGTTGGCAAGGAATGCCCCCAGGAGCCTGGTGCCATAGATTCCTCTGGTCTATGACCTTCAGATGGACATTTCACTCCCCTGGCATACATAGACTAGCACAAGCTGAGGAGTGGCTGCGGACCCAAACACTGTTACAGAGACAAGGTCAAAGGAAGCTGGGTCCTAAAGACTCTTCTCAGCAAAGCCTGGGCTACTTCAAAGACAAAATCCAGTAGGTGAGAGGATAAAATGGAGCCCTCTTTCTCTCACTGCAGCACACAGAGAGGCCACTGAACCCAGTCACTAGGCACAGGTTAAGTCAGGAACCTGTGTTCTGATCCTAACATTTGCCCACAGGCAGCTGTATAACTCTTAGGTGGGTCACTTAATCTCTCTGTGTCTCAGTTTCCATATCTTTCAAAGGGGAATAAGAAAGTGGCTTCCTCATAGTATTGCTAGGATAAACAAAGACACAAAGTGGAATCATCATGTAAAAAACCATGGAAATTTGTTTTTTTTTTAATTCACACAAAATATTATTCAGTAATGAGGTGCTAAAAGTATTTGGTGTCCTCAAACTTCATACCTTTTATTCTGCCCAACCCCATCTTAAAAGGAATTAAATTCCTTCAAAATTAAAGCATCTCTCTTTATAGCAGTAGCCTCTCTATAACCCAAAGCTCCCTCTTGTCCATAGTAGCAGGCCCTTTTCTGAGAGCCTCAGGTGTGAAGCCTTATAAACACATCTTTTCATCCTGACCCTTGCCCCAAACTTCAATATGGACCCCAAGTCATGATGACCAAGAACAGTTCAGAACAAGAAGTTACAGTTACCAGAGTCTTCACTAACTCCTTGCCAACCTACAACCACCCAGAATGGCTCAAGTATCTCTTTGTTACTCAGAGAGACCTAGAGCCATTCACACAGGCAACATAGTCTCTATGCTTGAATACAGTTCCCTCCCTTCCTCCATACTGTATGTAAGAACATGGTTACACCCCCACCAAATGAGAAAGTGTTTCCTGCATGGCTTTTCCAACACTTAAGCACTACCAAGTCCCAGGCTTCCTGCTAAACCCCAGACATTGGAAATGTCTGCCTTGGGTCATCTTCTAATGTGGTATCCATGGGAGCATCACCAATCTAAAGCAACCGCCCCCCCCTTCCAGTATGTTCTTTATCCTATGCTCCCATTACCAGGACCAAAACAGACCAGAATTTTGAGCCAAAGGACTTTTTCTGTCTCACTTCCTGTCATCAATCAGACACTGAATTCAAAGCCCTTGTCATCTGATAACCCTTGAAATCTTGGCTTCCTCTTCCTTCCATGGCTACTTGTTTCATTCAATTTCTCTCCTCGGTATTATTCTGGTCTCTCCTACCACTGATCTCTAGTTGAAGTGACCTTTCAAATTTAATTCAAGCCTAGATGAAAATCCTTCAGTCAACTACTCCAGTCCCAATACTGAATCCCAATTCCAAGCATAATAGGCAAGGCCTTCCAATCACTCCCATCCCCAGGTGTACTCCTGTTCCTGTCAAGCCAATTCATCCAAAACCCCTACAAAAGCCCAGGGCTTTCTCTCAGCTTTGACCTTCCAAGATTATCGTTCCTTTCCACTATATCCTTTCTCCAACTTTTTTACATCATAGTACAAAATAAACTTCCTAGAGGTGTCCTGTGAGCAGCCTCCTCTCTGAGTAAGTGCCCCAGGAGCGTACACCTCAAGGACTGAATCATAACTTACTATTGGTGGCTGTTCATCTCCCATCAGACAGCAGCTCCACAGTGAGATGGACTACCTTACTTACCAGTATGTGTTGAGCACCTACAACATTTGAAATTCTAGGACATATGTGTACATTTGTGTGAATGTGTATAGAATTTGTTAACCTCAAATGAACTAATAAATGGATGGATTAGATGGCCATATATTGGTTAAACAATTAAGATCTACAAAGGGTCTATTTATGGCACCTATAGACCAAACCATTTTCAACAGGGTTGGTAGGACAGAACAGGACAGGCACAGACAAAAGGTTACTCGTATCAGAGGTCTTCCCAGTCTCTGACAGTCACCAGAAGCTTCCAGCCAACATTTCATTTCTGCCATTTCTTCCTTTCCTAACCTCTTCTCAAGTACAGTGAGACTGACTGATCTAAGACTGCACTATTGGAGAAAAGTATGTGAAGCAACTATGAGAACTAGGCTGCAAGCCAGAGAGATACTAAGGGGTTGATGGACAAGCTCGGTGTTGTAGATTCCAAAACTTTGGGCCAGAGCTTGGGGGAGAACCAGGAAGACTGAGGCACCAGGCCCAGGAAGACAACAATAGGAACAGGGTCCCGGGACAAAGGCTAGGGTGAAGAACATGGCACAGTGCTGACAGCCCAGCTAGAGGGAAGACAGAGTGGAGAGGAAAAGAACACAGCAGGTAGACAGTTCAGGAGTTTTGCCAAGACCAGTGAATGTTCCTAGCAAATGATAGAGTGACTAGACGAGAGGCCTCTGATATCTCAGCTTCAACAAATCTCCATATCTGTAGGTGCTCAACCACCTCTGCAAGGACATTTCTGCAGACCATGCACCCAGCCAATTCCACTGGATCTAATTCTAAAGCCAATAACTCTGGGTAGTGGGGAAGCATGTAAAATATCTTCTTCCATTTACACTGAGAAAGGATAAAGGCTGTACATTGGGTTCTTAATTAAAGCTCAGCTCTTCTGGCAGCCATGGGGCCCTGGGCTTCATTTTCCTTGGCTACTTGGTGGTGATGCCCAACTCAGACAGCCATTAGGAAGGCGAAGTTAGACCATGGTTATGAAGTACCACACACCATTATGACCACAGGACAAACTGACTCTTTACCCTTCCTTTCCACTCTAAATGAAGCCCAGCGGGCCATGTGGGACTACGAATGGAGACAGGGAAAGACCTACACTGCTGACTCAGTAGGGAGTAAGGCACAAGTTAGGGCTGGGTAGCATCCAGGGATGGAACAGGGACCCACCTCCCACACCCCATTACCATCATCAAGGTGCCTGGAGTCTGGGTTAACAGCAAGCCCCATGCTAGGCTGTGTTAGTACCTTTCTCACCACATTTGGAGAGGAGTGCTGGGAAGTGCTGTCCACTGGAGGGACACTGTGAGAAGTTTCCTCCGCAGGTGTCTGGGGCAAGGCAGCAGCAGTATTCTTGTCAAGGGGTAGAACAGGCTTTGGGCCCTCAGATGCTGGTGGCTCCTCTGTAACCTAGAAAAGAAATAATGACCTTGGATGGGTTTCCCACAGAGAATAGCAGCAGGGTCTAAGGCCCGCTGAGCCCTGCCCATGTCACTGTTTACACACCATGAATGGATTAAATTTTCTTAAGAAAAATAGTCTGGGTTAGGGAAATAACAGTAAAGTGCCTGGCACACAAGCAGAAGACTGGAGTTCAGATTCCCAGAACCCACGTAGAACTTGGGGATGAACCACTGTCTATAACCCCAGAGCTGAGGCAGTGGGCAGTCAGCCTAGCTGATCTGTGAGTTCTCAGTTTAATGAGAGATCCTGTCTTAAAAACTACGGCAGATATCAGGCTCTGGCCTCAATGCACACATGCATACAATGTGCACCATCATGTACACACTCCCAGACATCCATATACCCACACAAACATGTGTATACAATACACACACACACACACACACACACACACACACACACACACACAGAGAGAGAGAGAGAGACACACACACACACACACACACACCATCAAAAATCTTCCTAAAACTGTATCCTAATACATAGTCTTAGGATAGAACCCAAACCAAGAATTCTGAGCTAACTGTGATATTTACTTTAACAATTATAACACGTAGTTTTTGTTTGTTTGGCTGACTGGCTGGCTAACTGGCTTTGATCTGGGTTTTGTTATTGTTTCAATGTTAGGAATCAAACCCAGGGTCTTGTGCTTGGTACCAAGCACTCAACCCACCACTGAGACACACCCTCAAATCTGTAACAGTTTGTACTAATACTTAGCTGTGGTGCTTTATGAACCCTGGATTCTGCTCTGCCATCCTGGGGAATATTTTACATCTCTTCAAAGGAACTGAGCTTCAGGAGATGACACCTAAAGCATTATCTAATGTCATCAATGATGAAGCATGAATGTGAAGCCGTCTGTTTTATAACAGAGGTCTCTAGAGCCTCTTTGAAGATGTGTAATAATAGGTTTAAAGTGAGAAGAGATGAAGAAATAGGCTGGGACAAGAGATATACAAAAAAGGAAAACCAGGAACTACAAATTAAGATGGAGAACAGCAAAGATCCCAAAGATTAAAAAAAAAAATCACTCAATCATCTTAAATGAGAAAAGAGAGGATCAGCATTCGATACTCCAATATTCCCTAAGTGGAGATCAGAGACTCTTCTACGGCATTACAGGCAAATCAGCAGGCCTGGGCCCTGGTCTTAGCTCCTCTTCTCAACACTGTATGGTCTCTAGGAAAACTGCTTGCCCTCACCAACCTCACTGCTCCTACAAGCTACAGATGGCAAGCACCACCTACAGAGCACAGCTGTTGGTATGATAGTTCATATGTGTACATAAAACATATCTAGCTTTGCAGACACAAAATAAAGTTGAAATCTTCCTTGGAGTGTTGTAAAAGTGCCAGCAACCAAGGTCTAATGCCACCTTCATTCCAGGCCTTGAGCTCTCCCAGCAAGGGAGTTTGAAAGGTTTCACACATAGGAGAGATTGCCCCCCTTATCCTGGCCCTGGGATGGGTCCAGCAACACTCTGATGGTACCATCTATTGTGCTATTGAATCTGAGTTCAATCCTCCAGTGCCCACAGAAAAAAGCCAAGAAGGTCAGTGAGTGTCTATAATCCCAGAACTTGGAATGTGGAGACAGGTGGATTCCTGGGGCTTGCTGACCAGCCAGGTGAGCCAAATTGGCAAGCTCCAAGGTTATTAAGAGACTCCGTTTCCAAGGAGGGGGTATGGAAAGCAATAGAGGAAGATGCCCAACATCAATGCCTAGCTTCCACATAGATTGACTTACTCTCCTCCCTCTCAACTCTCTCCTTTCTCCCCCTCTCCCCCGCCTCTCTCTCTTCTTTCATCTTTACCCCCCAGTACCTTTATGTTTTCAAGGATACTGTCTATGGACAAAATCCCCAATGTCACCCCAGGAGATAAGCTAAGCGGGGCTACTCTAGAGAGCACTGAGCCCAGATCTCTATAGAGACCATGTACTATATCCTCCACAGCTTTGCTGAGCATGGAGATCAGGGCTAATGTGAGGGCTTAGCTGAAGACCACGCTAAGATGAAGGACTGGATGCTGTATGCCCTGAGAAGCACTGGGATGCCAGCTCACCTGAAGCGTATCCTCCTGGCTCTGGGACTGGACAGGTGCTGGCTGCCTCACGATGTAGTTGATCTGCCCCACAATGGTTTGCTGAAGATGCTGAGGAGACTTGGTCTGACTCAGTTGCAGGCTGGGTTGCTGAGCTTGAAGGAGAAGTTCCAAGTCCTTCTGCATCTCCTCCAGCTCAAACTTGTGGTGCATAATGTCCATGTTCTGGGAACAAGCAGGTCCAGGAGGGCTCTCGTGCTGACTGGAAGCCAGGTGCTGGGTTGGAGGCAAGGGTGGAGGTGCATGCTGGGTGGGTGGAGGAAGTAGAGGTGGGGGTGGTGGCTGCTGCTGTGGCTGCTGCTGAAAGTGGCTGAGCTTCAGCTTCTGGTGGCCCAGCTGAACTTGGATGGAGGGTGTCTGTATTGTGGGCTGGGCATGAGCTCCCGACTGAACGTCTTGTGGAGGGACGATGCACACAGGCTGGGAAACCAGCTGCTGTCCTGGCCGTTGGGATGCATTCTCCTGTTCTGTGGGAGGCGGTGGTTCTAGCCAAGGCTGCAGCAGCTTTGGTGGATGAGGACTGCAGGCTAGCTCTTTCTCCCTGGGCAGCAGGGTGGAACACTGCAGTGACCCCAGCTGGTGGGACACCATTTCAGAGGGCTGCCGGAAACTGTGAGCTGGCTGGATACTGGGTGGGGCCACCTGGCCTTTGAGGGAAGGTGAGACTGGGGAGCAGTGGGAGCAGCAGACAGACGAGGAGCACAGTGCTGGAGGCTGGAACTTGTGTGAGGGATGGCTGAGAGACTCCTGCTGAGCCATGGGGGCCTGGTGGCTCTGATAAAAGGATGATGGCCCCTGTAAGGTCCCATAAGCAGCTGCAGCATCTGCCCGGGACAGCTGTCCACCCTCGGTGGTGATGCATCCTGGAGATGGAGAACAGAGAGATTCCCAAAGGTAAGATGCAGCTGCTCCCCTTTGATGCTTTCTGCTTCTAAGACCAAAGAACACCATTCAGCAAACCCAGTCAGCCATGAAGATAAAGAACTTCCACCCATGACCTCCAAGACTCTGTCTAGAATGCTGCTAGGAACAACACCTGCAGGAGCTTGCTTTATGGGACCATGGGTAATTAAAGAATTAGGTCAGCTTTTACTAAATGATTACTACCAGACTGGGAAATCCACCTGCTCTTTACACTCCTTTTAGTCTAAAAGCTCAATGGAGAGTCACTAAAAGAATGCACAGGGGGCATGGGTAAGAAGTGTACTGGAAAATAGCAAAGGGTGTACAGTGAGCCTCTGGGTATACATCTGGAAAACTGTTGGGCAGTGTGATGGAAGAACCCATGCCACGTCGGTGCCAGACACGAGCACTGCCCTTAGGTTTCTGGGCCCCTGTGAAGAGAACATCATACCAAGTGCTCTCTTGTTTACTGCTCCTTCACCCATTGGTCTATGAAGCCTGCTTAGGAGACTGGCTCCTTAAAGACAGATGATGTGTCCGATTCACCTTTGGTCCTTCCATGCTCAGCACCAGGCCACATCCAGTGCCCAATTAAATCAAACAGGAGGGGGCAGCAAAACTAAATCTGGGGCTTACGCATATAGTCCATTTGGTGGAGTGCTGGCCTAGCATGTGCAAAGTCCTGGGTTCAATCCCCAGAACCATAAACTGGGTATGGTGGTGCATAACTGTAACCCCAGCACTCAAAAGGAGAAATGAAGCTAAGAGAGCTAGATGTTCAAGGCCACCCTCTGTTATTTAGTGAATTGGAAACCAGCCTAAGCTACATGGGACCTGTCCAAAGAAATGAACAACATATCTAGCCAAGTTCAAAATTTTTTCAGAGGAGGCGAGAGAAGGACATGAGAGAACAGGAAGATTTAGTCAGGGGAAGAATAGAGGAGAGCAACAAAAGAGATACCACAAGAAGTCATTATAGGTTTAAAGAGAATTCTGGCACTAGGGAAATGTCAACACCTAACAATTTAAGCAGTAGTTGAGAGGCTACCTTAAATGCCCTTCTCCAAAGCCAGGTAGAGGTGGCACACACCTTTAATCCCAGCACTCAGGAGGCAGAGGCAGGCGGATCTCTGTGAGTTCAAGATCAGCCTGGTCTACAAGAGCTAGTTCCAGGACAGTCTCCAAAGCCACAGAGAACCTGTCTCAAAACAAAACAAAACAAAGCAAAACAAAGCAAAAAATCCCTTCTCTTATAATGATATTGATGACTTCCTTATATGCCATCCTAGAGCCTTCATCCTGTAACTGATGGAAGCAGACACCCACAGCTAAACACTGAGCTGAACTCCTAGAATCCAGTTGCAGGGAGGGAAGAGTGATGAGCAAAGGGGTCAGGACCAGGCTGCAGAAACAGCTGACCTGAATAAGAGGTTGCTCATGGACCCCAGACTGATAGCTGGGAAACCAGCATAGGACTGTTCTAGACCCCATGAGCGAGGATGTCAGTTTGGAGATCTGGGCAAACTATGGGGCCTCTGGTTGTGGATCAGTATTTAGCCCTAGTATGCAAATGGACTTTGGGAGGCCTCTCACATAGAGGGACACGCTCTCAGCCTAGACACACAGGGGAGGGTCTAGGCCCTGCTCCAAATGACATGACAGACTTTGAAGATCCCCATGGAAGGCCTCACCTTCCCTGGGGAACAGAAAGAGGTTGGGATGGAGAGGGGTGGAGGAGCAGGGGAGGGAGAGGGAACTGGGATAGACATGTAAATGAAGCTTGTTTCTAATAAAAAAAAATCTAAAAAAAATTGAATGAGATTAATTAATTAATTAATTAATGAGAATAAAAGAGGCAGCTGATAGTTCAGTAAGTCCATTAGGTTGTCAACACAAACATATCTTCACGTTGTCTACACTGCATAGCAACTAACTGACAGAAATCATAGCAGAGAAGAAAAAATGCACAAGGCCATTAATCTTCTGTTTGCACCTCAGCCCCAAGGAGGAGTGTGTAGCTTGTACCCACACATATATGCACTGTGTCACCACACAGACATGTTCACCTGAAATGCCACACAGCATTCAGGAGAGGAGGGTCACTGTCTTGTCACCTCTTCAGCAATGAAGCCAAGGTAAAAGGAGCAACATTCACGCAGAGCAGGAAGCTAATGTTTCAGCTGGCATTAGAGTCCCACACCACCATTATGTAGCCTATCCTCCCCACTTCTGCTCAAGAAAAGGTTTGGTGGCTGACGCCATGATCACTGGCAGGCTCTGAGTGCACTTTCTCTTGGGCATATGCTGACCCACCTAGAAATCACAGCAGATTACCTATACTTATTCTTAGCTGACAGGACAAAGGTCACAGCTCACCAAGGGAAGCCAGCTGCTTGGTCCAGAAGTTGGGCTCCCAGGTGAATCTGATACTCCAAGGAGAGCCAGGATCTGTGTTACAACTCGATTCCAGCAGCCGCTGCATCTGGAATACAATCTGACAACAGTACCATTTATTTGGGCATCTGCCTGTGTGGCAAGTTCTATTTTCTATTTCTAGTGCTTTGGGCAGGTTAAAGGGCGCTGCGCTGTGTCCCTCTGGCCTCAGGTCATCCTCCATGGTCTCGGTTCCCTGTTCCCTTCCAATCTTCCCAGCCAATGATCTTTCTCTCCCCCAGGCTCTGGAATCCCTACATTCATATCTCATCCAAGCAGCCCCAGTCATCTACCATCACCTCCTTTGAAAATTGTGCAGACCTCCTCGGAGTTGGCCATTGCTCTGCTCCTGTCAGCATATAAAGCCCCTTCCATCCCTCATCTTCCTGCCATTGCTCTCATCTACTGCCCTTCACCCCTCTCCCATTACTTGGGACTTTGCCAAGTATCCAATCACACCCTGCCATCATCTGATTCTAGATAACTAATGGCCCAACTGACATCTTGGTCTCTTAAATCCTTGATTTTTTTTTTTTAGTTTGTTTTGTTTTGGAGAAAGGGTCTCACATAGTCCAGACCTTCTTCAAATATATTACATATTCAAGGATGACCTTGAACTTCTCATTTCCTGCATGTACCACCACATATTGTTACATGCATATATGTATATACATATATATTCCCAAATACAATCTGTTGAGTCTATATAATATTACTTGTACCATTCTTGATTTCTTTAATGTCAATCAACGTCCATCTGTTTTCAGCTCAGTCACTACACCTACACCCCACTCATCATCTGGACTCATTCTACCTATGAGGCCATAAACTCCAACAACCTAATTCCTAATTATAAGGTGCTCCTACTCCCCTGGGACATGCTCTTCAATATGACTGAACTCTCTGAGTGCTAATCCAGCAGTTGATAGTCTTCCCAGTTTCCCATCATCTTCAGGTCCCATGTCACTAGTGCCCTAAGTCTCTCCCCACCACCAATTCTTAAGTTCAGGTCAATCCAGCTATACTAAAGCCTTGTTATTCAGCTATGTTATCTAAGGCCATGTAAGTAAATATTAGTTTCAGGGGCTCACTTGGAAGGTTCCCTCAGCCTCCCTTTTAGTTGCTTCCTTTATCACCTTCCTCTTCCAATGCTAGGTCATTCACCTTGCCATTTCACCCAATCTCTAGCCCTCATCTATTACTTTGTAGTTTGCAAAGGATACAAGGATAAAAGAGACCACAAAAAGCAAATGCCCCAGGAACTGAAGATGTAATTCAGTTAATAGTGTTTGCCCAGTATACAGGAAACCCTAGGTCTAACACCCAGAACTGCATAAACCCAGCATAGTGATGTGTGCTGTAATATTGGCATTCTGAGGAATCAAGTCAACCTGAGTTACATAGTGAGTTTGAGGCCAGCCTGTCTTAGAAATGACAAAAAAAAAACAAACCCCAAATACAGGCTTCCTTTATAGTCTGAACTATATGCACTGCCCTTATCCAAGGCCAACAGGCACCCTCTGGATCTGACTCTCTACCATCTTTCCTGGGGTGCTCACTCCAGGTTGAAAGTATTTTACTTTCAACCAACCTCTCTCCCATATGGAAGTGCAAATGTTTGCCAAACTTAAAAAAGAAAACAATCTCCTCCAGCTCTGCATCCCTCCCAATTCCTGATCCCTTCTCACGTCTACCTCTGCCCTCCCTCTGTGCTCATGCTCATCTGACTTCCATCTTCTTGCTTTGCTGGAACTTCCTTATAAGGTCACCAGGGACCTCTGGACTGCCAGATTTCCAGGTTGCTCAGCTTGTCCATCTTGTCTCACCTCTGTAGTATGGTCAGCACAGACCTCAATTTGAACTCTGCTGGCATCTATGCGCTCTATCTACTTCCTTGCCTCTACTCTACACTCTAGCTGTGCTTCTCGGTCTTCACTGTCTTCTTCCCTCTGTAGAAACAATGGCACTCCCTGATTTCAGATTTGCTCTCTTTTCCATGATGCTCCCATGGTGACTGTCCCAGTAATGCTACCTCTTAATCTCCAGCCCTGACTCTTCTGATTTCCAGACCCATTTATCAAACCAGCTTTTTGGACATCTCTTTTCAGATGCCTCCAGGCACCTTAGAGTCAATACAACCATCTCTCAAAACCCATTCTCCTCCAGCCTGGTGTGCTGCACTCAAGGGAAAGAGACAGGAGGATCTCAATTTTGAAGCCTGCATGAGCTACCTAGCAAGAGCCTGTCAAAAACAAAACCAACACTTCCTTCTCCTAGGCATGACCATCATCACAAGCCCAGGACTTGAAAATCCTTGCTCCCCTACTTGGAGCCTAGTAACAAACCTTCTGTGAAATCTCTGTACCCAGGACAATATGTGAATATATGAGAACTACAGACCTTCCTGGCTAGGTTAGCAAGATCATTTCTGTACCCTGGGTCCCTTGTGCTATAGGACTTGGTAGAAAATGGCATTCACTTACTAACTCCAAACCATGGCTGGGTCTGAAGAACTGCTATCTACTCCTCTCTCCTCCTAAAAACAGGAACTTCCAAGGACAGCCCCTCCCATTGTTCTGATCTGTTTTCAGACTAGCTGAAGGGATGGACTTCCTCTTACCAGCTCTTTGCTGAAAAGGAAAGGAACGCTGGTTTTGCTGCAGACAGCCCAGTTGATGAAATTCTGCACATGCTCAAACTGACGATTGAGAACCATGATGCTCTGTAACTGCTGCTCCAGCTTCCTCTTTCTCTCATTAGTAATGCCCTGGTACACAGAGAAAAGACAGAGTCCCTGGTGCTGTTCATGGACCTATTTGGGAAGTCTAGTGGCCATTATGTATCAGCATGAACACTGATGGCATTAGATAAGAGAACTTATGAAAACAGCCTTAAGCTGTTTGCTGATGGATGGAGAAATGGAGAAGAGATCGTGAGAGTTTTTTTAAGATTTTATTTATTTATTATGTATACAACATTCTGCTTCCATGTATATCTGCACACCAGAAGAGGGCACCAGATCTCATAACGGATGGTTGTGAGCCACCATGTGGTTGCTGGGAATTGAACCCAGGACTTCTGGAAGAGCAGTCAGTGCTCTTAACCTCTGAGCCATCTCTCCAGCCCCTGATCATGAGAGATTTTACAGTACAAATGTGGAATGGTGAAAAATGGAAAAGCAAGAATGAATGTCTATATCTCTTGCATACAACCTTCTGAAAAAGGTGCAATTAGACTCTGTTTTAAGACTTCCCTGGCATAGTTACGGCATAGTTATGGATGCCAGCTCCCTGAGAGACATTGCATCAGTGAGAGGTTGAACCTGTTTTCCAGTCCTTAATAAGCCACTTTCCCAAAATTAGACTAGAAATTTAAAAATACAGCATGCTACAAAATGCTACAAAGACTGTGTATCTGAACCCTAGCCCTGGATTCTGATCCAGGAGAGCACAGAATACACCACCCCCTGCTCCATCTGCATATACATACCTCAAGTTCCTCTATGAGTCCATTGGCCTGTTTGTTCAGCTCATTCATGAGGACCATCTTGGCCATTTTGATCTGGTTTTCCACCTTCCTGTGCTGATGTTTCACTTCAAAAATCCTGGAAATATGATGGTATAAACACAGTTTTTCCTTTCTGCTTGCTGAGAGACAGCAAACAGAAAAGAGACAACTTGGGAGCTGCTGTGAGTTAAGAGCCAAGCAGGCATCAGCCCTATTTAGTATCCTGTTGTAGTCTTTAGGAAACCTGAAGTCCATAACCAGGTCCGCCCAGTAGCTCACCAGGTGGCACAGTACATGGGATATATGGATATGATTTCATATGATGCATTGTCCAAAAGATGCTCCAAGAAGTGGGAAAGAGTGTGTGTACAGAGACTAGTGGCTTCTGAGGACTGAGGAGAGTGGAAGCAGAGGGAAGTGATCAATAACATATATGGGTTTCTTTTAGTGGTGATGAAAATGTTCAATTGTACAGTTCTGTGAAATGCCAAAAAACAATGAATTGTGCATTTTAAGGGCTTTATTTTGTTATATCTCATTAAAAAGCATTTAAAAGAGAAAGGTTATGGGCTTTGAAGTCACAATAGTCCTCCAAACTGATTAGCCATGTTAGCTCAGATAAGTCACCTAACCTCTCTGAACTTCTGCCTCCCCATAAGTAAAATGGATGTAAGCCTTGACTGAAAGAATTGTTTGTTAATGAATAACTTAGCAAATAATGCAGGTTTCCCAACCCACTGGTTCCCAATTCCTAACTCCTACTAAACCAAATACCAGTGATATCATGCCATATAGCTTATTTATATGGGAAACAAGAATGGACAGTTTATAGCTAACTTGTTGCTATCCCACAATAAACAGCACTTTCTTCTCTGGAAGCTACTTACTACGTACCCTTGTTCTCAGGTACCTACTTCTAGTGATTCATAAAGCACCGAACTTTAGCCCAGACTTACTCTGATCATTCTGAACCAGGCCGGCCCTAGTCATCAACTGACATCCAGAAGACACCTCACTGGTATGGAGATCTCTAAGAAATGGACACATGCACTTATCTGCCTAGCTGCATCCCCCTCCATGGACCCTCTAGAGACTGGGACCCGAGCCCAGGAAGTGAGAGAGCAGCACATTTTCAGCGCTAGCAAGGTCTGGCCGAGGCTACCTGTCTTCAATTTGCTTTGCAGATGTCTGAAGGCTGGATTTCTTATGTGCCACCTGCGTAGTCACACTTTCCAGAAGCATCCTCTGGTTTTGTAGAACTTCTTCAACATGTCTGCACCTAAAGTAGGAGACAAAGCAAGAGCTGAGAAGTGAAGGCTCCTCTCTTGAGCATCCGGAACCCAGCAATCCCTGTGGTGCATTGTCTCAGCCTCAGAGGCCAGGATTACACACTGAGAGACACAAAGGCACTCAGGTGTCTTGGTCCATTAGAAACTTTTAGACATTCCACAGACAAGAGAAGCACCTTGACCCAGCTGCTGCAGGTTGGCTTGGGCAAGGCAAGGAGAGGCTTCTTTTTTTTTTTTTTTTTTCCTTGAGATAGTGTCGCTACATAAGCAAGTTATCCTCTGACTCACTATGTAGCCTGGGCAGTCCCCTAAACTGACCATCTTCCTACCTTAAGTGTTGTTATTACAAATGAATATGTCACCATACCCTGCTTCAGGGAGAGGGTTTTGACACCTTAGCAGGCCAGAGAGTTCACAAGAAGCAACGCAGAGCCTCCCAAGCCTACTCAGACAGTCCAGCAGTCCCACCTGTGCTCTTTGTGGTCCACCATTAGGCAGCTGTGGCACGTGAGCACATCACATGTCTCGCAGAAGAGCTTGAGCACTTCCTGTGTGTGCAGAGGGCAGTACAAGGCGAAGTCCCCAGAGCCAGCATTCACCCCTGCCAGAGAAGACAGAAGATGTGGGCTTCTGTTCATGCAGACCTTTCTATTAAGCTTTGCTGAGCAGCCCTCTAGGGACATGGCACATTCACAGGGCTTGGGGGAAGGGGGGAGACAAGAGATGCAAACAGGAGAGGTCTCCCTTGGGAACAGTGAGACTCAGGGCCCAGGGAAGAATTCAAGCTTAGCTTGGCTAGATTTTCAGCTGTCCAGAAACCTCCCACTCAAAAGCCCAAGTATCGCCGGGCATTGGTGACGCACACCTTTAATCCCAGCACTCGGGAGGCAGAGGCAGGCGGATCTCTGTGAGTTCCAGACCAGCCTGGTCTACAAGAGCTAGTTCCAGGACAGCCTCCAAAGCCACAGAGAAATCCTGTCTCGAAAATCTCAAAAAAACAAAAAACAAAAACAAAACAACAAAAAAAAAAGCCCTAGTATCATACCACCTGCCAGGAGTGAAGGAGGCACTTGCACCTGCTCCAAGTAGATCTCTGGCACAGTGGGAAACCCTCCCAAATGAACCTAAGCCTCTTCATTAGCCAGGATTTTATGTTGATGGGGCTAAAATAAGTAACTCAGCTTTGCTGGGCTTCAGACTAGTTCATGTGATGACTCTGCTTCCTGTGGGCCTGACAAACATATCACCCCCTCACACACACACACACACACACACACACACACACACACACACACACACACACGATTGTTTCTTAAAACATATGGTGCAGTACAGACAACAGGTTAAGAATGGACTTGACTGTTAAGTGTCTGATGTGACATACTGCTCTAAATAGGAGTGGAAGGTGGGAGCTCAGCTAGCTTCCATGATTCAAGATCATGCTCCTAGCACCAGCCCACCCACACTTACCCACCCCCAGCCCAACAGTGAAAGGCTGGAGTGAGTCACCCCTCTGACTCTGAGGGAGACATTCTTCCTTTGCAAAAGACTCAGAAACCATCCCTACTGTCTCCCTTGGCTGAGAAACACGGTCAGAAAGCTATTCTCCAGGTACTTGAGGGTTCATCACAGAAGAAAGTGGGGGGGAGGCTGGTACCTGGAGATCCCTTCTGTGCCCGTGCAAAGAGTGGGCCCCCTGTGGTTGGGACATGGCGGTGTTCTTCTGTGCAAGAGCTGCACAGCCAGCGATTGCAGTAGGTGCAGAGGATATGTGCTGCCCTCTTCTCCTTGCACTCAGAACAGTTCTGAAAGTAGAGAGTCCAAAATCGGTGACCCTGTTGTCGCCGAGGCTTATAGCTGCAAGCAGCAAATGTTCTAGGGACTGGGGTCCTCATGGAATGTTTCCCCAGGACTGAGGAGTGGAGTCTACTGGAGGGCTGCCTGGCAGGACTTGTGCAGGAAAGCACCCTCTGTGACAGAAGGAACAGTGGCTACTCTGCACTAAATTTAAGGAAATCCAGTAAGCCAAGGCTCCCCTCATCAAGGCATATATATCATGGACAAGGTGACACCCTTTAAATGGTTAATACTGTGATAAAAAACACTTAACAAGTGATAAGGACACATGCAAAATGAGGTTTCCAAGAACTAGGCCTGAGAGTGGCAGGGAACTTTTTCATCAATAGGAAACATCTAAGTTGAATGTTGAATGTAGGGCAAGTAGGCAGATGGAGGAGTTACAATAGAGGAAAAACTCAAGGAAAAGTTAAGCACTCAATTTCTTCAAAGGAGAGAAAGTCTGAGATGCCAGAGTTCCCAGGGAGATGTGTATATCTAACAGAGAGGGCACAGCTGTTTCTGCCTGCAGTCTGCCCAGCCTAACAGCCCCTCCTCACCTCCAAAAGTTTGGTCATGTCATCAGCAGATGTAATGCTAGGTCTGATGGGAACCATCATGAAATGACGAGATGTACAAAAACAATCTACCAGCCGGGCGTTTAATCCCAGCACTCGGGAGGCAGAGGCAGATGGATCTCTGTGAGTTCGAGACCAGCCTGGTCTACAAGAGCTAGTTCCAGGACAGTCTCCAAAGCCATAGAGAAACCCTGTCTCGAAAAACCAAAAAAAAAAACAACCAAAAAAAACCAATCTACCCATTCCATGAAGCCACTAAACTACCGAAGTTCAAAAGGCTTTACAAATTTCCCTATGAATATCTTAGAAGAATACGTTAACTATCTGTCTTCTTAGCACCTCTAAGTCCCAGAGTATAATAGACATTTGGTAAGAATTAGATACAGGAAAAAGCAAATAAACTTTTAAGTTAATATAAAGCAATAATAAGGATATGCCAGTAGAAAAACAGAAGGCATACCAATCAGTAAGTAATATAAGATTCAGAAACTTGGAGAAATGGTTGAGAGCTGTTACAGACAAGATTAAAGAGCCATTAAACCTAAGCTGGTGTGTGAATTTTCAACTCAGTGGGAAGATAAAGGGAAAGAAAAGCCTAGTACCAATATTTTCTATAAGAGCCATGAGGGAAAAAAAAAACACTGAAATAAACTAAGTAATGTACCTTAAGATACCTTCCCTTTCCACTCAAAGCATGTAATTTTCACCTAGTAGAAAACTATGCTGTTTCTCCCAATTTGAACATTTTTTTTATTTTCTCCTGGGTGGATGTGTGGATGGATAAGTGGATGGATGGGTGAATGGATAAGTGGATGGATGGGTGAATGGATAAGTGGATGGGTGGGTAAATGGATAAGTGGATGGGTGGGTGAATGGATAAGTGGATGGGTGAGTGAATGAATTAAGTGGATGGATGGGTGAATGGATAAGTGGATGGATGGGTGGATGGATAAGTGGATGGATGGGTGGATGAGTAAGTGGATGGATAAGTGGAAGGATGGGTGGATGAGTGGATGGATGGGTAGATGGGTAGATGGGTGGATAGATGAGTGGATAGATGGGTAAATGGATGGGTGGGTGGATGGGAAAAAGTGATGGTGAAATCACAAGTTGGTGATAGGTGGCTAGACCTATAGAGGGACTAGACAGGGATTTCATCAATTTCTATAAACCACCACCTGCTCATTCCCTTGTCTTGACTTACCCTGGCCATTGTGGGTTGCCCAGGAGGAAAGCACTGAAGAAAAATATGTTCAGTTACATCTCTGGTAAGATACACTCGCTGACATCCAGGACAGGAGATGAGCTCTAGAGGGGAAAGACAAACAAGGAGTCAAGACAACAGAGAGATGATACATAAGGCCTAGAGGGAGGCTTTCTAACACCTAGCACCAACATATGGGCAATACCCACTCTGTACCATGTGATCCGTGTTCAGTAACACAGTCTGTAGTTAGCATGAACATGGCCATCCCACCAGGGGCCAGCCCTACAGACCATCCATCCCTATTTTTGACTAATTTACCTTCCTCTCCTCCCTAGGAACCAGGCTAGTGAAGCCCAGAGGACAGTATCAGTCACTAAGGTTACTGTGCTACCCACATTACTTCAGAGATCTCAAAAATAGAGCTTCCAGGAGTTCTCTAGCAAGAGAAAGAACAGCCCCACCCCTCCACCTGCTCACATAGGAGGTATTTTTCTATTGGTTCAACCCATACCAATAAGTCCTAGAGTCCTGGACCATGTTAGGTACACTACATACATCACTATGAACAGCCTGATTCACTCCCTCTTCCAGAAGAATGCAACAGTTTCCACAACACTCCTTAGCACAGTGGGCATCTAAATTATATAAGCAGCAGGGAACTGCCACCCTGGAGATGACTGTGACTCTTCAGACCCACTCTAAAAACAGTCAAACCTCTGGGAAGGAGTCTCGAGGAGGACAGGTACCGGTGACCATGTTTGAGGCTGGTGTGAAAAGAACTGGTGCTAACAGGCCTTGTAGCAACACTATCACAAGTCTTCTCTGCCTTGTTTCATTAATGCAGTAATGAATGCTACAGCATCAATTGCTCTACCGTGCACTCAGAAGAATGCCACCCAGTGACCTTGGGCAAGTTTCTTTGTCTCAACTGACTCACCTATGCCTATTTTATTATATGTCAAATAGAAAGGGGAAAGTGAGAGTTGCTTTGATAGATAGGCATGGTGGCATACATCTGTAATTACCAGCACTTGGGAACCTGGGGCAGAAGGCAACACCAGTTCAGAGGCAGTGGGGGCTACATAGGAAGACCCTATCACAAAAAGACAGTCTGGTGAGATAACTCAGAAGGTAAAAGTGCTTGCTGCTAAGCTTGAAAACCTGAACTCTATCCTATGAGTCCACAGGTGGAAGGGAAGAACCAATTCTTTCAAGTTGTCCTCTGACCTCTACATGTGTACTATAGCACACACAAACGCACAGGTACACACACACACACACACACACACACACACACACACACACACACACAATAGGGTTGCTATGAGAATTAAATATTTGAGAAAATACAGTTCTCATTGAATGCTGACTTTGTATTCAAAATATTTCTCACATCTTATCCACTGTATGATTAAAAAGCAGAAAAGAGTGGTACACTGAGAAATTTGTCGTGAACTCTTCCTCTCCCTGAAAGAATTCCTTGTGATCCCTTTTGGTTTTCAAAGACACACTTTCATTATACAGCCCTGGCTGGCCTGGAACTCACTATGTAGCCAAGGCTGGCCTTTAGCTCACAGAGATCCACCTGCCTCTGTCTTCCAAGTACTGGGATTTAGGGTATTTACCACTGTACCTGGCCAAAAAGAACTCTTAGGGATGGGGAGATGGCTCAATAGGGAGAAGCGGGGGTAGGACAGACAAGTTCCTGGAGCTCTCTGGCCAGCTAGCCTAACCAAATTGGGTTAGCACCAGGTTCAGTGAAAGAGCCTGTCTCAAATCGTAAGTAGAGGACACCTGATGTTGACCTATGCATGCCACTGACACATACATGAACACTGTACACGAGAGAGAGGGAGAGAGAGAGAGAGAGAGAGAGAGAGAGAGAGAGAGAGAAGAGGGGGCAGGGGAAGACTAACTCCACCCATTGAATCTACAAGTAGCCCTCAGGGGCCCATGCAACTCTGCTCTTGCTCCTAGGATTCTCCAGCTGGTCTGTGAAAAGTTGAACCTGGGACTCAGATTGCTGGAAGATGTCAGACCTTGAGGAAAGAGGCGGTAATTGTCTCAAACATTCCTCATAAGGCCACCCTAAACCAGGCAGACCAAGTGACCCACCAATCTAATGCAGGCATAGGAGTGCAGCCAGGACCAGACAAACTCAGCCCAGACTACCCAGAGAATCCCAGTCCAGATCACCAACCCAGAGAGCCATACAACAAAGAAAGTTGGTTTAATCACTAAGTTTTGTTTTGTTTTGGTTTGGTTTGGTTTAGTTTTTGTTTTTTGAGACAGAGTTTTTCTGTGGCTTTGGAGGCTGTCCTGGAACTAGCTCTTGTAGACCAGGCTGGTCTCAAACTCACAGAGATCCACCTGCTTCTGCTCCCGAGTGCTGAGATTAAAGGCGTGCGCCACCACTGCCCAGCTAATCACTAAGTTTTGAAGTGGCCTATTGTGCAGCAAAAGTTCATCGCTACCATCTGCAAAATCCACAAAATCATATAAAACAATAACCCTTGCAGAGCCGTGGATTTAAATGACAGACCTGCATCTGAATCCTGGGGGTGATTTTTTTCTGCTGCTCAACACTCTCTGCAGGTGACATCACCTAGGTGTCAGGTGATGGTCTCTCCCATCTACTAGGTGCATCCACAATGATCTGAGTGTTAAAAGTTACTTCCACAAGACTCGTGGTACCAAGTGCTCAAACATTAAAAACAGTAACACAGCAGACTGGAAAAGGAGGATGAACTGAAGGGTTCAAATAAGGCCTCATGACACATCATCTGCCTTTCTTGGCCTTAAAGATGAAACCCTTGATCGGCATTCATTTTCAACTTAGTCTTACCACCCTCCAGCCTCATCTCTAGCTTCATCTTCCAAATGCCGGTCTTTGGTATGCCAAGAATGTCTGCTGTCTCTGGAACAGCCAAACTTTTGCATGGCTCTGTCTGGGAAAATGCTGCTCCTTCTTGAAACACTTTTCTTTGCTTCTGTCCTTTTCAAATAAACTATGCATCCTTTCAAACCTGTTCAAATGTTCCACTTTTGAGAAACAGGGCTGATTTCTCCAAGGATCAGTTAATTAGTACCTCCAGTATAAGAAAGATCACACTGCATTTTAACTACCTGTTCATATGTCCACAGAAGAAATAGTCCACATTTATCATCAAAGGATGTTGCACAGTTTTTAAAGATTGGATAATTGCACTCCATGTGTATTCCTTGGAAGAAGCCACCTGAACATTTCTGGTGGTGGGGGAAAGCCATCCTGAAATGACAATCACATGGTGTGTAGACAAGGCTCTGCTGCCATTATCTGACTGTCACCGTAGGTGAGCACCCCCTTTTCCTGAATGTCACATATAGTTAGGATGAGGAGACTAGGCATAGAGGGAGAGTGCTGGTTCCAGGACCCTTCCCATGTGCCCTTAGCAGTCCAGCTTGAGGAAAACTCCCGAGGCAGGATAAGAGGGGACAGTCAACCACATGGCTACTGAGCTATCTATCATCCTTGTCAGAAATGGTGGGCCAGGTGCGGTGGCACACACCTGTAATCCCTGAACATGAGAGATCAAGGCAGGAGGATTGCCAGTTTGATTCCAGCCTCAGTTACACAGTGAGAAACTGTGTCAAACAAACAAAACAAAGACCAGAGAGTTGAATGACAGGCAGCCCTGAGGAGGAACTGCTAACTAGCAGAGCCAGAAAATAACTGCACTGCTCATAAGAATCACTATTTACATATTTAAATTGCATCATAAATAAAATTTTATTTACATATAATGCTCATTTATGAAAGGTAGGACTTTTTTTGAGACAAGGTCTCATGTATTCCAAGCTGGGCTCAAGCTCATAATGGAGCCAAGAACAACCTTGAACTCCTAGGGAAGTGGAGTTACAGCTGTATGATACCATGCCTGACTTATGCAGTGCTGTGGATTAAATCCAGGGCATCGTGCATGCTAGGGAAACATTCTACCAACTGAACTACATGAGGGATGTGGATGTAGCCTTGGCCTTCCTAATCTATGTAGACCAGGCTGGTCTTGAACTTGACAGAAATTCTCTTGCCACTGCCTTCCAAGTGCTAAGATTACAGGTGTACATCAGCAAGCTCACCTGCTTTACTGCTTATTTCACAACCAGAAACATCATTCTTGAGACCCAGGGGACCATGACGCAAAGACCACCAAGGAGGTGGGGCTTCTGTTTCCGGGATGTGGAAAGCACCAGAGATCTCCCTATGGAGCCTAGGGCCTGGGAGAACAGCTCTGAGAGCTAAAGTCATTCCTCCCATCTGTTAAGAGAGTGAAAACTGAGACAAGGACCATGATGTAAGTCTGCAATTCTAACACACAGGAGACTGAGGCAGGGGAATCTCAAGCTCTAGACCATACTAGGCTACACAGAGAGTTGCAAGATACCCTGTCTCAAAAATTAAACACACTTCTTGTCCCTAGGTGGTGCGATACAAATTGACATCTACTTAGCACTACTTTCTGTACTGGCACCATACATGTGTTATCTCATTCAACCATCAATCATTTCTTAAGAATGTCCCCATTTTATTGTGGAGATTGAGGCTCCAAGAAGTTAAATTAGACAAGCTTGGTCTTGTCTCCATTTTATTGTGGAGATTGAGGCTCCAAGAAGTTAAATTAGACAAGCTTGTGGCACACTAAAACCCAAGTCTGTTTATCTTTAACACTATGTCCTTGGGACAGGGAGATGGCTGAGTAAAGCAATTGCCATGCGAGTTTTCAAATTCCCTGAACTCATGGAATCTGGATATGTCAGCATGCATCTGTGATCTCAGAACCACTGCAGGCAGATGGAAGGTGGAGACAATACAACCTCAGAAGCCCACAGGTCAGACAACCTGGACTGTGCAGCACAGCCACAGACAACAACAAGACCCTGCCTCAAACAAGAAGGAAAATGAGTGCTGACACTCTAAGTTGTTTTCTGACCTCCACACATATGCCACAGCATTCACGTGCAACACACACACACACACACACACACACAAATAAAACCATGTTCCTTTAATTATGTTATATTCTTTCCTTATTCAATAATAAATACATGATATATTTTTATT